ATATATATATATATAATAATCCTCCCAAATTGAACATTTGTAATTTTAGTCTTAAAAAATATTATTTTACTATCTTAAATTTAAAATTTATCTTCTAGTCCTTATAATTTTAAAAAAATAATTTAGTAAAAATATAAACTTAGATTTTGATATTTTAGGGATTAAAAATATAAACTTAGATTTTGAGCGATCAATATAATATTTTTTGAAATTATATAGACTAAAAACACAAATTTTAAATTTGAAAAATAAAAAAAATATAAAACTCAAACGTAAAATACTATAAATATATTTAAACAAAAAATGTATGTAACCACAAATAGCAATTTTTGTTTAATAACATCATCATATGGGGTCATTCCACAGGATTGATCCAAAGATAAAGTTATTAAAACTTAAACTTTAAGTCTACTAAAAAAATGTTATTATTATTTTTTATAAAATGAAAAAGTCACATATATTAACAAAAATAACTCATATATAGACAAAAAAAGACTTAATACATACCATTTTCTTTTAAGAAAAAAAAGACTCTTTCAAAATTTACTTTAAACTTAATTATTATTGAATTAGCCATGGTTTTACGTAAGAAAACATACATTTACCTTATAAGTAACATAAGGTATGTCTAACAAAAAAGTAACATTGGGTTAGGAAGTAACTTGAAAATAGGAGTGTTTGCGGCGATTTGATATAATAAAAGCCAATTTAGAAGCTTCATTAAGAAGAAAATGACTAGTTGTTGAGAATAATCTCATGACAAAATTTATATTATTCATTGCAAATTCAAAATATAATTTATATATTTAAAATATTTATTTATTATAAATTTTAATTATATAAATACAAACATTTGTTCTATATATCACAATATGAAAATACTAATTTAAAAAAAAAAATACTAAAACCAAAACTCACGTATTTCCAAGCATTGACAAACATGTTAGTGAAACATATTAAGAAGACAGGTATAACTTTTACTCTTTTCTAGACAAACCATATTGTCCATAACAAAGTGAGGTAGTGGAAGTGTGAATCAGCAACCAGTATTCTGCTTTTAAAGTCTTTAAAAAAGTAACAAGTCCATTTAACTTGCACATATTAACATTTAACATTTAATTTAACATATCACAGTTCATGATACATAAACAAATGTTAAAAGCAAGAAAGAATGTATGGTGAACTGGCAGAACTAATACTTGAAGTGTTACATGTCCTTCATTCTGAATGTAAAGAATATATAGAATTTACAAACTAATGCAATTGAATGCAGGAATAGAAGAGCTTCCAACTTTGCGTTGTTCTCACGGAAAGCATCTCCAACTCTTATATGTGGAAATGATGAACGAATCTGCTTGTGCTTGATTCATATCACCTTCTGCAGCTTCTGCTTGTGCTTGAATCAGCTTGCAAAACATTATAAAGTTTTGCAGTAAAAATTGCAATCACGGATTCAAGTCCACTCATGTCTTTCGATGATGTTAAGGCTGCTGCTAATGAGTTCGGTATGTGATTCGCTATATATACATTTATATTTTATAATTTTCAGTACATCTACCTATAGTTTCATACCAGAAACCAGACCAATATCTTGATAAATTAGACTATGGCACTAGAGATAGGGAGTTCTTTTAATTTAACTAGATGTCTCGAATTTGAGTTGTGAGTATGCTCCGACATTAAATACTCAAACAAATTGTTTCAAGTGAAACATGGCTGTAGTCCTTAAAAAAAATAAAAATAGGAAGCATTTGCTTTTGATGAGTAAAACTATTGAGGCTGAAATCCAAATAAATAAAAAGATACAAGGCTTGATGCTATATATAGGGGTATATACTTGGATTGTTGATAATGCCCAAGCACATATTATGAGGACCAAACCAATATTAAGGAAAACTGGAATGACTAAAATCTTCTTTAAACCTAAGAAAAATGACTATTTTATATCAAATAAATGAAAAAAAAGAGACTAAAGTTTAGCAAGAAAAATATATCCACCACTCTCGATTTATTTTATTTTTTTAATTTGAAGTCTAATCTCCGTCAGTTGAGAAGCTTGCTTCAAATCATGATATATCCAAATCTTCTTTATAAGCATACTTGATTCAGAGGAGAGCATTCATAGTTTACATTGAGATTAAGAACATACATAAAAACATTTGCAAAGAAAAGTTGTCTTTTAGCCATTATATTTTCCTGTATCAATAGGAACTAATATTGTTGCAATTATGAAGCTAGGGGATTTGACCACAATTACTACCACCCTTTGCACATAGCAATACTAAAAGGAGATTGGAAAGCTACAAAGGCTTTTCTTGACAACGACCCCAGTGCATTGACTGCAAAGATCACCATACTTGGTAGGACTGCATTGCATGTTGCAGCTGTAGGAGGGCAGTGGCAAATTGTTGAGAAGTTGGTGCAACATGTGCCTGCACAAGTACTTGCAGAGTTGGACTTGATGGGTTGTACTTGCTTGCACTATGTTGCAATGGGTGAAAGCGTAAGTGCTGCCAAGGCACTGGTGGGTAAAAATCCTTCTCTGACACAACAAACTGACTTTAAAGGATTCACACCACTTATCTATAGTATTACCTCTGCTAGATGCAAAGAGATGGTCTGGTACTTTGTTTTGAATACTACAGATGAGAGACCTGGTTGTCCATTCTCTGGCCCTTCTGCTAGTCAACTTGTTGCTTTGCTTACTGCTGCAGGATTTCATGGTAAAATAAAATGCTATATGTACATGTGTTTTCAAGCTTTCTGCACTACAAATTTATATAACTAGGTTACCAAAGTATTCAAGCACATCCACACAATTCACAAACCCTCTGCTTCATGCTTCTTTAGGATAATTATCAATTTTGCTAATTTAATAACAAAGTATATAAAATAAAACACATTATTATTCATATGTTTGCATCTAGTTCTTTATATTCTTCTATAACTATTTTTTGGGCTCTTCCATATGCAGATATCACTATTTATCTTCTCCAGCTTTACCCAAACTTGGCTACTCTCACAGATTCAAATGGAAGCCTTATACTTAATGTTTTGTCAAAAATGCCCTCAGACTTCCCAAGTGGAAATAAGCTTGGGTATTGGAAAAGATGCATTTACCACTGTAAGTACCCACTTTAGATATTATTCTCTTTTCTTACCATACTTCATTGTAATATACTTCTGCCTTACTGAAATTTAACTTTCCTCTTCTTCAACTATATTAGGTGTTCCAGATGGACTTGATTATTCGCCACCAAGTCATCTGAGAGGAGATTTGAAAGATTCTTATGGGGATTCAAGCCATCACCAATCTTGTTTTGGAATAATATGGAATGGAATTCAGAATATTGGTATGTTATGCTTGTCCAAAAGGGCATTTCTAGTTATCCTTAAACTCTTGGTTTCTCCTTTTCTTTTTATGTTTTAATTAAAAAAATACAAAACTTCATATGCAGTTCCTGGCATAAAGCTAGTCAGAGAGGCAAAGTTGAGACACACATCTGCTGTGAGATTGGTGGAATTTGTTTGCACACAGGTTTCAACCACAAATGATTCTCAATTCTGGCAGTCTTTTGTGAGTGCAGACATTGTTTTCAATGCCACAACATCCGGCATAGTAGAAATTCTACGGGTTTGTTTTCAGTTTTTTCCTGATTTGGTTTGGACTCACATACCAAATGAAGGATTTGTAGCTCAAATAGCCATCAAGAATCGGCAAGAGAAGGTTTTTAGTCTTCTATGCAAGATGCCTATAATTTGCAAATTTCTAATGTTGGCAATAGACGAATCACAGAACACCACATCACATGTAGCAGCAAGGTTTGCTTCTTCTCAACTGGCATCAATTTCTGGTGCAGCCTTTCAAATGCAAAAAGAGTTACAGTGGTTTAAGGTTTAATCTATCTCATAACCCCCTTAGTAATTTTGAACTTCAGTTATATCAAGACATTGATAACATTGTATCATAATGTCCAACAGGAAGTAGAGAAATGGGATCACCCTCTTCATAAAGAACTTAAAAACGAAGATGGTAAAACACCTTGGCAATTGTTCAGGGAAGAGCATGAGCCCTTGCTTGAAGAAGCAAAGAACTGGATGAAGGATACATCAAACTCTTGTATGTTGGTGGCAACTCTTATTGCTACAGTTGTCTTTGCTGCTTCTATAACTGTACCTGGAGGAAACAACCAGGAGAAAGGATTTCCAATATACTTGTCAGATAACACATTCATGGTCTTTGTTGTGTCAGATACATTAGCTTTGTTTTCCTCCATGGTTTCTCTTCTGATGTTTCTATCAATCCTAACGGCACATTATGCTGAAGAGGATTTTCTCAGGAGATTACCCGAGAGAATAATATTGGGTTTGGCTTCATTGTTCTTTGCTATAGTAACTGCAATGATAGCATTTGGTGCAGCTCTGGATTTGTTGTTAAGGGATAGACTAAAATGGGTGTCAATTCCAATTTCCCTACTGGCATGTGTCCCAGTTGCTCTATTTGCAATGCTTCAACTTCCCTTGTTCATACAAATGATCATGTCAACATATGGTTCTCGCAAATATCATCGTCAAAGTCTTTGGTAAGGCTTTTTTGTTTGTTCTATCATGTGGAAAACAAAAGACAAAGCACGGAAAACAAAAACCATAAGTAATGTCAACAGGGGATGTTTTCTTTTTCTAAGGCACTTTCATCAGCTTTGGAATTTGTTTGTCTTCAGTATTATAGTCGAGAGTTGATTTATGCGACGGTGAACTACAACGAAATAGAATATGCCTAAACTGCAGATAGAGCGCTTTGTCTCTTGATACTTGTTTTTCAACGAGTAATCTATGAACAAGGTCATGAACATGGTTTGCAAATTGTACTATAATTACTAATGTAACAAATGATCCATACACACAATCTCCTACAAAAGGCAAGTTCAAACTCTACAAAATGCCTTTGTTTCAAGGATTAGAAGCCTATTCTTGATAATATTGAATTGAAAATGTCATATTTCATGTTTGTTTAGAATTTTTAAAAAAATATTTTCGAGTATAAGTTATTCTTGAAAAAACTCACAATATGATTCACTTTATTATAATTCCCAAGGTGAAATATAAAAATTATATTTCTATAAGAAAGTGAGAAGTTATATTTTAACCCACTTTTTAAACTTATTTTGTATTTCAATTAATTTAAACTTTTAAAATATTTTAAAAAATATTAAAATTTCACTGAACACATTTTTAAAAATTCTCAGCAATAACATTCCAATAATATTTCTAGAAATGTTATTAACAAAAAATAAAATTAGTAGAAACAAAAGTCCATTCTTGAAAAAGTAATCACAATATGATTCACTTTGTTATAATTTCCATGGTGAAATATAAAAATTATATTACTATGAAAAATGAGAAGTTATATTTTAACCCACTTTTTTAACTTATTTTTTTTAGTTCAATTAATTTAAACTTTTAAAGTATTCTTAAGAATGTTAAAAATCCGCTAAACACATTTTTAAATATTCTCAACAATAATATTCCTATAATATTTCTAGGAATATTATTTCATGAAAAGTAATCATAATATGATTCAATGTGATTCACATTTTATAATTTCCGTGGTGAAATATAAAAATTATATTCCCATGAGAAAGTGAAAAATTACATTTTAACCCACTTTTTTAACTTATTTTTTATTTCAATTAATTTAAAATTTTAAAATATTCTCAAGAATGTTAAAATTTCACTAAACACATTTTGAAAAATTCTCAGCAATAAGATTCCAATAATTTTTCCAAAAATGTTATTCACATAAAAATAGTAAAAACAAACGTCCATACGTGTTGGAAAACCAACATGCCAGCTAATGAACGTACAATCAATTGCCAGCCTAAATCTATGATCCATCAACTAATCTAAATCCTACTAACTTGTTTCTAATCACAATATCGAATAGGATAATTTAACAATTGGAACCTCAAATTTATTTATTTACACCAAGTTTTCTGAAATCTTAATCCAATAATGTAAATACATTAGTTGCTTGAATTTACAAAACACCTTCCAATCTGTTGTCATTAGAGCACATAAAGAGATTTTGTCTCAATTTAAAATTCAATTCGTCAAGCAGATGAAGATAGAATATCAAAAGAAAAACTCATTTTAAACTCGCCGGACACATAATTAAGTTTACAAATTTAACCACAAATGAAAATAATTCCAAGGGCAGTTGCTAGTTTAATAATCAATTTAAACAGAACTCACTATTAAGTAAACAATTAAAAGTTCTTGGCTATTTTTAAACCCACACAACCCTAAAACCATAAAACCCTCCCTACCCAAGAAAGTAGAGCTCCTGGCAAAACTGATCATCTGATTGTGCGAGTACAAACAGAGAATATCTTATGCAGCACCCTTGCCCTTCTTCCTCTGAAGCTTCTTCATGTAAAATTCTAGCTCTTTGCCCTCTAATATATATCTGCCAAAAATTCAAAAGCCATTCAGCGCCAACAACCAGAACAATTAAATTTAAAATTAAAGAATACTGCTCACTTGAACATTTGACTGACTAATGATTTAAATTTGAAGCCAGCATCACCAGACATACAACTTCAGATTAGATGACAAAATTGCTAATAAGGAACACTACTGATACATGTCTTGTCAACCATAATTTTTTTTGCCTGTAAACTTTACAAGTGAGCATCTGATTGACTATTGATTTAATTTTGAAGTCAGCATCACCGGACAAAACTTCTGATTAGATGACAAAATTGCTAATACGGAGCACTACTGATACATGTCCACGTCTTGCAATTCCTTTTTTACCAGAGTGAATCACAACCATAAGGAGATCTCAACATAACACAAGGTCCAGAGCTACCATTTAGGATTAGGGAACCATGGCTACCAAAATATTATAACATTTGATAAACTAAGTTTATTTTATTCAGGCGCCCTATCATGTTTTAAATTCCAGCTCTTTATATTGTATATATTTTTGCTAATGGGATAAATGTTCTAAGAATGAAAAAGCAATTCTAAAATTTACAGGAAAGTATGCACTTCTTACATCAGTGATAGCTAATTGAGTAAAAAGTTAACATACCCATCAGCACGGCCACATTGGCCAGGTCGGGATGAGATACAAGCCAAAAGGCGACCACCTCCAAATTGTTCTTCAATGTGAGGATCAAGCACCCGGTTCTGTTTACGCTTTTCCAACTTTCTCAAAACATGGTTACTCTTCTTCACCTCCTCAGTTGCAGCTTCAGCATCCTATTTAAAATAAAAATACTGAATGATGTAAAGAAACACACTAAGGTTATCATCAAGCAAACAAGAAAAACAGAATCTGTTTTCTTTGAATAAAAAAAATCTAACAGTTGATAAAAAACAATAACCATATTTTAATTTTAAAAAATAAACTATTTCATATTACATCAGCAACCCAGTTCCTGAACTCATTTTACATATTTTTTCGGCATTGAGACTTCCACTGAATAATTCAAAACTGCAATTATAAAATGAGTTTAGTTATATGCTTTATCACATGTTTACACAGACATCCAATGGGAATTTATCCTGTCACCACATGATATTAACGAAAATAATGACTTGGTAAAATGATAAAATCTCATCGGATGCCTGTCTCAAGAAGTTCCACATTTGAGGTGCATACAGATTAAATTCTAATAAAAAAAATAGAGATTTAGTGGAACTACAAAAAGTGCATCATAACCAATTATAGTCCACAAAGCACATACAGATAAAACTGAGCAATAAACTGGACAAACATACTGAAAGTGAAGTATAACCCACACAATAAAGGAAAAGAAGAAAGCTTCCAAGTTCCAACAACCAACATTGACAAAAACTATACATTCCACAAAATCTAACACCATACTATTCAGCTTGGAAAGCACCTTAAAGGGAACTATATGCAACAAACATGTACTATTAACACACACACACAGTATTGTACCTCTCCTTCTTTCTTGGCAGAAGCAGCAGCACTCTTCTTCTTGCGACCAATATCAACACCATAATGCTGCAGATACCACTGCTTGAAGGGAGCAGCATCAACCTGAACAATAGCACTCTTGACCAAAGTTTGAGTCCGAACCAGCTCATTGTTGGATGCATTATACACCACATCAAGGATCCTAGTCTTGCGAGTCACAGCCTCACTCCCCCAAGAGTAGTTACCAGTGTCAAGCCTCAAAGCACGCCACTTCACATTCCCACCACGAACCCTAACCCTCCTAACCGTCTTGTTGCTTGACAGCTTTGTGTTCGCTGGCTGCCTCCCAAGCTCGTACCTGCAAACAAACACACACCCATTAAACACATAATAATCATCTTAAAAATTAATTGTGAAAAATACAACTTCTGTAGTAAAAATTAGGGTTTCATTATGATAAACCTTTGATAATGAGTTTTAACTCTGGTTTTGATTAGATCGAATAAAGAAAATTGATGAAACAAAAAAATACTGAATTGTCTGAATATAGTGAATTATAATAAGGTAGAATAATTTACTTTCTCTTCTTTCTCCAAGCTTTCTTCTTGCCACCAGTGGCGCGCCTCTTGTGCATGGAATCACGAGAGATACCTGCGGAGATTCACATGAATCAGCGTCATTATGCTTTGAGAGAGATAGGGAGAAGAGAGAAAGAGGAAAAGTACCCATTTTGGAAGAAGAGAACTTGCTGCGAGCTCTGGCTGGTGGCTTCACCCTCTTAGGGTTGAGAAGAAGAAATACAAAGGGTAAGGTTTAGATCCTATTGGGCCACTATTGGACCTTGGGTTCTTCACCAACATATTTAGGCCCACTTTTCAGGTTCCAGTTTAAGAGCTTTTTGGGCTTATGAATCCATCTCCTCATGACCAAATTAAAAAAATATTTTTTTAATATAACATTAATTACCTCGTTTATTTTAAAGTATCATAATATTAATTCTACCTATCATAATATTCTTTGAAAGCTATTTTGTGTTATATAACTTTGAATAAAAAGAATTAATTACAAGATTAATTTTATAAAATAAGAATAATAATTTATTTATTAACTTAAACCAATTAATATACTCTTATTATAGGATGATGAGATAAATTTGGATTAGGTGACAAGGCCCAAGATCTTATTGCTATACATGGTTAAAGCCCAGGAACAAAATGTGTAATAATATGGCTGTCTTGTGTCCGACCAAAAAAAAGAATAAAAAAAACTGTGTTGTTCACACTGATTCTGATTCCGTTTTCTGCAACGATTTTGTGTTCTTCCTAGAAAACTCAGACCTTGAATTGTGGGTGCTTACAAGACTTGTAATTGTCGTCTTTAGGAATCTCAATGATGGGTTTCTCAGTGGCAGCTTCGTTGGGTACCCATGTTGTGCTTAGAGACACTCATCAAACAAAATTCAAGTGCCAATTTTTGTGCGGAACAGAACAGAATAATAGAATTGGTTTTGAATTTTCAAAGCACAAGGGCATCCATAGAGCAATTTTTGTTAGCAAGCAAGAGTTCACTGAGTTGGATGAGAGGAAGAGCCCTGACGAGGTACCATTTACCGTTTCCTTGTTCAAGTTAGTACCTTTTGCTTATTTGTTTAGTTCTTGGTGCATATATTTGATGGGAATTGGTGAAAATGGAAAGTCGTTTCTGTTGTGAAATTTTCTGTTTAGTTGGATTGCTTGAAGAGTAGCTACTAGATCCATGTAACCTGTGGTGTGGGGTGACAACTAATAATAGCTATATTGTGTTTCGGTTCATAGTGTATGTCCCTTGGTAAAATGTGTTTCTGGGAATGTCATTGATTGAAGAGTTTCCTGCTTTACTGAGATGGGAAGCTAGGAATTGGTATTATTGTAGAATTTTCAATTTGTTGATGGAAATTGATAATTTTTGTTTTGTATTAGTTCTTCTTTTGTTGTTGTTATTGTTGTGTTTTGTGAATGTTAAAGTACTGAATAGGGAGACAAATACACAAATGTGTAGGTTTTAGGACCGCTTGCTAACAAAATTTATTAATGTGAGGGGCATTGCTGGGGTTCCTCTTATGAAAGTCAGAAATAATGATTGGTGAATAATTTTAATGAGATTGCTAAGTAGTGATGATCTTTTAGCGAATTTCTAATGGACCTAATTGTTGAAAATACTGTCATCAAGAGACAATGAGATTTAATCTGATGACATCCGCATAAGAATCCTAGAGTTTCAATTTAATTTGAAGTGTTAAGTACGTTTTTAGTTCCTCAAGTTTGGGGTAAATTTGGCTTTAGTCCGTCAAATTTAAATATGATCTTTTCCATCTTTGTAATTTATAAAAAAAAAAAAAAAACTCGTGTCAGTCCCTCACACCAATAGTATCACGGATTGAGTTAGTTATACAACATTAGTTGGATTTATTGTGATGTTTTCGCTTATAAAGACACTGGTAGGTGAATTTTGTGCAACAAATTTAGTAATAGGTGAGCCCTTTTGACAAATTTACTGATGCTATTTGAACACAATTTTTAAATTACATGGACTAAAAAAGTTAATTTTCAAATTGAGGTACCAAAAACAAATTTACATCATATTTGAGAGACCAAAAACATATTTAAGTCAAACATAATTTAGTTCTCATTGAAAATTTACATTTTCTAACATTTAATATTATTTGTATCTACAAGGTTTCAGGTTGGCTAGTCATGACACTCAGTTTTTAGTAGGGTTTTGGATAGTTGTGGGTTTCTGCCTTTTCTACTGTCCCTTGATAATCTGCTTCCTCAAAGAATTCCGAATTTTGTTTTCAATTTTCATTTTTTTAATTTTTTTTCTGGATACCACTTGGTGGATGCTGGTACGGATTATAGTAAATGTCATTAATGGATAAACCTCATTCAAGGGAGCAATATATGATGGACAGTTTTGCATGACCTGGGTATATTATATCTAGTTTGGACTTGAGGCAATATATTTCTGGCTTAATCAGGAAGTTGTCACTCTAAGGATTTTTGGACTTAACATTTCAACCCCTTCGTGTTTCTTGGTGTTAGATGCGGCTCTCTGAAGGAATAAAGAAATAATAGCTCTAGCTTTTGGTATAAATTTGTATTGGCAGGGACTGATTTACAAATGAGTTCTCTAGAAAAGCATTTTGCAGAGTTCTTCTTTGCTGTTAACTTGTTCCTTCTGTTTACATACCAAGAATTTTTGTCCTTTGAAATTCCAGTGAAAATTTAGGAAACTGAATGCTCCCTTTATTTAATATATTACAGGTTAAAGAAGAGATTAAAAAATGTTATGAACTCATAAACAGATTAGGGAGAGGAGCTCTGTATCTGGGTTCTTCAAGGTTGGGACCAAGCCATGCACATTACGTGCAAGCACAAGGGCTGGCTAAAGAGGCAAGTAAATTCTTACGGTAGCTAGCTTCCTGCCACCTTTTTTTGGCTTACTTGCTGGTGGGTATTATGTAAGAAACCATTCGATTGTGAGCTAAACACATTGTTTCTGGCATTAACAATGGTGATAGTGACAAGGGTCTTTGTAAGTTATGATTATTTTTTTGAATATCTTATTGTGCAGATAGCAAATCTTTTGGACTGCACTTCTTGGTCAGGGGCTGGACCAGGGCTAATGGACGCTGTTACTCAAGGTGGCATGCTAGCAGGAAAACCAGTTGGTGGGTTCAAGATAGGAAAAGAAGCTGGGGAGTGGACAGCATCTAATTTTCATCCATACTTACCATCAGAAAATTACCTCACGTGCAGGTAATCTACCACCAGTGCGTAATAGCTTGTACTATTTATATTTAAGCAATTGCAGCTTAGATAGTTAGGTTGTTTTAACTTGACTTCAGATTTTTCTCTGCACGGAAGCATGGGCTGGTGGATGCTGTAGTGAGGAACAATTCATTTGATAAGACTGCTGTTGTTGCCCTTCCTGGTGGGATTGGTACTCTAGATGAGATGTTTGAGATACTGGCACTGATTCAGCTGGAACGGATTGGATCAGAGCTTCCCGTTGTTGGTTGGTACTCTAGATGTGTTGTTTGATATACTGGAATTAATAATTCAGCTGCACTGGATTGGATCTAAGCTTCCTTGTTCTCTTCCTGTTGATGAACTATGATTCATTTTATTCAAAGCTGCTTGACTTTTTAAATGATTGTGAGAATTGGGGAACTGTCTCTAGAGGAGAGGTTGCATCATTGTGGAAGATTTGTAACAGCAACTCAGAAGCTTTGGCTTACCTGGCAGATTTCTATGGCATTTCCTCAAGTGACCGTAAGAATGTAACTAAATTGTGTAGCACGCATGAGTCACCCTCCTCATAAGAATTTTTCTTTCCTATTTTTTCCCCGGAATAATTGCCTGCTATTTCTAAAAGGCATGAGCTGTAGAATACTCTCCTGAACCATTGTACTATTACCAAGTTTTATGGTTGACATTTTTGGCTTGTGTAGTAGCATGTTCTGACTGCATATAAAGTGTATCTTAGGATTCATCTGTAATCATATTCGTGATTTGGATAAAGTTGTAAAAGTAAAGGAGTTTTCTCTAATTGTCATATCCCAACTGTTGTGAGGTTATTTTCCAACTTCCTTTCTTTGGTTGATTTTGTCTTCAAGTGCCATTTATGGAAAAAAAAAACGAGTTATTATAATAGACTCTGTGTATGTATGTCATTGTTTTACTAACGTATGCAATCCACACACAATTGAACTGGGCCGAGGCACCTGGATCATAAAAGATTGGCTATTTGACCTCCTCTTTCGAGGAGGTTTGCATTTCTTTGTGGAGAATCGAGATTTCTCTGTACCTGGTTAACAAGTTTAAAAACTTTCTTTTCTATCCCTTTAAACTGTTTAGCTGCAAAGTTCAGACGCACATTGTTAAGAAAAATAGTTGGTAATGGAATCATGAGCCTAAAATTACAGAGCCAATAGATCATTCAAACGCCATTATTCCTAAAAGGCAACTAAGTTGCCTAGCAGCGTAGTTAATTTGTTGGTACGCACAAATGATACAATCATCTAGCACGTCCTCCATAAACAATATAACTAAAATTATTGATTAATTACATTAACAGATCAGCTAAATCACAATATTCACAACATAATTAGTTTTCACACTTTTAGTTTCTTACGTGTATGATCTTGTTCAAGGAACTACCCGACTAAATATGGACATTTTTTTTAAATGAAGATTCAAACCTTGATTTTGTGTTACCACCAGAGTTGAAAGTAATGCATAGGATCTTATATTCAAATTTTAGTACAGTATTTGTAATTCCAATAAATCTTTATAAAAAAAAAACCTGTTCCGCTAGATCCTACCCTTATAGTGTTTTTGGACAAAGGAATGAGGCCATGCCAAAATTATAACTGACACCAATATTACGTGTCACTTTTATATTGGTACAACCAATTACAATGAAAAGCATGATCCATTTAAACAATTGTATACACTATAAATTAGCTGAATAAATAATAAACAACGAGGAAGGAAAACTCATAGTCCTTTCCATATTATGGTCTACAGACTTGGCTATATATAATGTTGAAGAACATAGAGTTTTGCACTCACCACAAAGCAAAAAACTGAACTAGGCTAAATGGCAGAAACTGCAATGTCCTTGGCTGGTCAGTATGTGCTTCCAAAATTTATGGAAGTAGTCAATATGCTGACAGGTCTCCAGAAAGAAGTTGAAGACACTAAAGATGAACTGGAGAGCTTTCAAGATTTCATCAATGATGCTGATCAAGTGGCTGAAGCTGAAAAAGATAACAATAGGCGTGATAGAATCAAAAAAAGGGTGAAGCAGATGAGAGAAGTAGTTTTTCGCATGGAAGATGTCATCGATGAATATATGATCTGTGAGGAAAGACAACTTGATGATCATGGATGTGCAACTTTACCCTGTGAGGCCGTTGACTACATCAAAACTCTGATCCTTCGCCTTCAAATAGCTTATAAGATTCGGAATGTTAAATCACTTGTTCATGGTGAAAGATATGGTTTCCAAAGCCAATTTCCTTTAGAACCGAGACCAAACAGTTGTAGAGGAAATCAAAGTGTCACATGGCACAAACTTCGAATGGATCCTTTGTTTATCAGGGAAGATGAGGTTGTGGGCTTTGATGGCCCTAGAGATATGTTGAAAAATTGGTTGATAGGGGGACGAAAAGAGCGCACTGTCATCTCTGTGGTAGGAATGCCAGGATTGGGAAAAACAACTCTTGCCAAGCAAGTTTTTGACAACAAGGAGGTCTTTGGACGCTTCGATTGCCATGCATTGATTACAGTGTCTCAATCCTACACTGTAGAAGGATTGCTAAGGGATATGTTGCAGCAATTTTGCAAAGAAAAAAAGGAGAATCCTCCACATGTTTCTACAATGGATCGAAGGTCATTGATAGATGAAGTGAGAAACCACTTGCATGAAAAGAGGTATGTTATCCTGTTTGATGACGTATGGAATGAAATTTTTTGGGATGACGTTGAAGTTGTTGTAATTGATGATAAAAATGGAAGTAGAATATTAATTACAACTAGGTACAAGAAGGTTGCGGAGTTTTGTAGGAGATCTTCTTTTATTTATGTGCATGAGCTGCAACCTTTAATTGAAGAAAAATCCTTGGAATTGTTTTATAAAAAAGCATTTCAGTATGATTTTGATGGATGTTGTCCGAAAGAACTTGTAGATATATCTGTTAAAATTGTTAGAAAGTGTAAAGGTTTACCTCTAGCAATTGTGGCCATTGGTGGCGTTTTATCAAGAAAAGAGAAAAGTGCAACTGAATGGAATCTGTTCAGTCAAAATCTAAGTCTGGAGTTGGAAAGGAATTCCAAGTTAACTAGTATAACAAAAATTTTAGGTTTAAGTTATGATGATTTGTCGTACAATCTCAGATCATGTTTGTTGTATTTTGGAATGTATCCCCAAGATTTTGAGGTTAAATTTGATAGATTGATTAGGCAATGGATAGCTGAAGGATTTGTCAAACTTGAAAGAGAAAAATCTTTGGAAGATGTTGCACAACAATATTTAACAGAGTTGATCCTTAGAAGTTTGGTGCAAGTATGTTCATTTACCATTGATGGAAAAATTAAAGGATATCGTGTTCATGACTTACTGTAATATCATAATGTTTTTAGATAACAATATTCTCAACATTATTATTAAATGTAATTGAAAGTTTTAGTTATGATAA